GTAGCAGAATGCTTAAACATGCTGAATTGTAATTTGTGAGGAAAAAACAAGGGCATTGTAGATTGTTGAAGGAAGAGTAATAATTCAGTCTTAAAATGCACTCAGTTCTTGGGAGTGTGAGACTGTACTCATTTACTATTATGGAATGGTCCCAAGTTAAACAGAACCCTCGTTTTTACAAACTGCAGTCTTATGCTGGGGGAAAAAAAAAAAAGAACTTAAGATGAAATTTTCAGAATTTGTTGATAAATAAATCATCTTTTTTCTCTTCTAAATTATGTTAATGTAAGACAATTAAAAAATACTTCAGAATGTTTTTCAAAATTTACTTGGTAGGATTGTTGTGGAAATAATGCTTTTACCATACAAAATGGGTTTGATTAATTTTCTATTATGTATATTTATTATACTATATGTATTATACATTTTTAAAAGAGCCACAAAGTTTATATATTCCCAAACCAAAAATTTCCATCAACAGATGAAAGGGTAAATAAATTATGGTGTGTCTGTGTAATGGAATACTACTTGTCAATGAAAAGGAGAAAAATAAATAAATGCAATAACATGGATGAATCTCAACAAGAGTATGCTGATTGAGAGACCAGACATATCAGAGTACATACCATATGATTTCATTTACGGAAGTTTCTAGAAGGTGGCAAAACTAAAAAACAGATTCAGAAACTAGATCACTGTTTGCCTTGTCAGGCATAAAGGATGCGTAGTGATAAAAGAAAACTTTTCTGGGTAATGTTAGATGATATTGGTAGTTACACAGGGGTATAAATGTGGCAAAGCTCATGGAACTGTATATTCAAAATTGTTCGTTTATTTGATATAAATTATACCCCAACAAAGGTGATTTAAACAAAACAAAACAGCTTCCATGTGTAGTTTTATGATCATGTGGCCCGCTCAAAAGTGTTTGGACTTTCTGTAAGCTACCAAAATGAGTGTTATGGACTCACTGAAAGTTTCTCCTCCTTCAGGACTGAAGTGTCTGCAGCCGGCAATTCAACCAGAGCTTAAAGTGGATGTTGCCTTAGAGAAAGTGAAAGAACATCTACGGAGCGCTTCTCAGATCTGCATAAGATGCTTTCACTACATGTATATATATAGTGTTGTGTTTGAGAATTTCTGTTAGAGAAGAGATTTTATGCTGTCATGAAACATCAAGATAAGCCATGTGGTGGGAGTGTCCTATATTAAAGAGGCTTGAGTGTGGTCAAACTATTCTACATGAGGCAATGGCAGGAGCTCATGGAATTCGGAAGGAAGGAATTTGAAACTTAGATGTAGTAGGCCAAGTTGCTGGAATCAGTAAACGGGGTACATTTGTGGGACTCAGGGTGGGGCCTTGCCACATAACTTTCTAAGACTACAATAAGAGTCTGTAAAGGTTTATAGCAGACTTGGTGGCTCGGTTCAGGGTGATCCAGAGTAGACAAGAAGCCGCTGGCAGAGGCAGGGAAGTCAGACCACCAGGGCCCTCTCACTGGGAATTAACAGATCTGTTGCAAGGCTCGAGCGTTTGCCTATGATAAATGTCAGGGTCTGCATCTTTCTCTCATAAATCTGTAGCACTTATTAGACTTTCTGGTTTATACAGTATTGCTTTTACAACATATATGTAACAATTTTTAAAAATCATCTCAAAGTAATTTCTCAAATGAGAAACATAAATCATCTTAAGCTCAGAGTTGAGAAGAAGGAATCATAAGGCTAGCTTTTAGTCTGTTGAAATCCATATACTCCAAATATGACTTTACATTTTGTATTTGAATTGTGGGTAAATTCTAAAACATCAATATGTGTGTAAATATCTATTCTGAGGCCAAAATTTGTGTGACACTTGTTTTGGAATATTTTATTATGTGACATTTCTACTTGAGGTGTTAAAAATTTAAGGTTAAATTTAAATACAAATTTCAAGTATTACTGTTAAAAGTTTATTTTGTAAATATTAGATTCACTGTTATTAAGTTTTTAAGCTAATGCCATTTTGATTTTTTACCGTAATTCTCCTAAGAGTTTACTGTTCAATTCTTAAATGCTTCCTTTCTTCATTTAGAAAAAGGCGAAAGATGTATGCGATCTGAAGACAAACCAGAGTATGCTTCCTTTCTACATTTAGGGAATGATTAAGATCAGTATATGGGGCCAGGAGTGACCAGAAAGAAAATCAGCTTTTCTTATAAGTATGGAATTCTTTCTTTTACTCCACTTAATATAAACATTGCCTTCCTAGCAAACACCAAGTTATCATCTTGTTAGGCAAAGAAAAGATTAATACCGGTTTCTTCTTTTTTCCTCAATTTAGTATTTGTCATAACATTGAAGAACTATACCACTTTTTATTCCTGAAAGGATAAATAACTTTAGCCAATAGTAATTGACCTAGTTGTTTTTGTTTTTGTGTTTGGTGTATAGATTAGGGTGTGTGGATTTCTGAATGACTTTTAGAACAAGATTTCTGGTCTCTAGGTTGAAACCCATTGATGAGTCATAAAAGTGATTTAGTAAGTTATGAAACATGTTTTCATGTTTTAAAAATGAAACAATAGAAAATATCATGAGTTCCTCACACAGTATTGTTCTGGGAAACATATTTTCTAGTTGTGCGTGCGTGTGTGTGTGTGTGTGTGTGTGTGTGTGTGTGTATGTACTGGGTTGTAAGATAAAATGTATTTTTGACTACGGGTTGGAACAGCAACAATATTTCTAAATAGTTTATACAAATATTTTAGAGGATCACCTGGAAGTTTCTGATAGCTCAGATAATTGAGTATCCTTCCTATAAAAGAAATAGGTAGTAAATAAATTGTTGGACTCAGCACTCATACTCACAGGTTTCATAACAATGGAGTAGAATAAGAATATTAGGTTCACAGGTTGTACTCTTACATCTTTGTCTGAAGTCATTTTCTACTTTTTAATTCATTGCTTAAACAACATGTCTTAAAACACTACATCAGTATATTTTCAGGACATTTCAAAAATTAAAATATCATTGAACTTCTTCAGTTCACATTTTGATGAAATGTAAGTATTCCATCATTTTTCTCCTATTTTTAAAATTCCATTTCCCTGGAATGCTCTGCTTCCAATTGGGCATACAGACAAGTACTTTGCATAATTCAGAGATCATTTCCAAGATCACCCCTAGAGAAGGGTCTCTTGAACAACGAAATTTAAAATCTGTCACCTCAGGGTTTCACAAGAATATTCTTTTCTTTTTACTAACACTTATCACTCCCTAAATTATCTTGTCTAATAAAATATTGGTTTTCTTCTTTACTCTTCTGGCCGTTTACTCTGAAATCCATCCACCCATCTCTCCAGAATGTAAGCACCACAAAAGCAAGCTTGTTGCTTATCTGGCCACTGCATGCCTTAGAAAAGTGTCTGACATAGGCATTCCTCAATGCTTGTTAAGTAGATGACTGACTTAATTTCAGAAATAATGACAAAACTTTGCTTATTGATTTATAAAAACTTTCTAAATGTGGAAATGAAGCTAGCTACAGTGATATAACATGTATAATGGCATCTTTTCAACCTGGCTTTGTCCTCACTAGGCCTTACCTATTTATTTTATATTTACCCTGAATTTCATCTTGAAAGTTACTAATTGCTCTTTGGTATTAATAGGAGTGTTCAGATTCCAAACCTTCAATGACTTAGGAAATAATGGTGAGAAAAAGAGCTTATTACCAATCCTGATGGGCAATGACATTGAAAACTGGAGTCAAAAAAAGCTATCATGAAAGCAACAGAAATACTTGGAGTTTGTAAGGAAGGTGGATACTTTGGTATATTACTAACTGTCCATCTTCTGTTTTATGAGTCAATACAAGCCCTCGGTGTATTAAAACCTATTCATATGCTACAGAGAAATAGTTTTCAGTAAGCAAATTAATAGAAGCAGATGGTTACTACCTCTATTATATGCTGGGAAAACAATTTATTTGCTTAAATGCACTTATTTGAATGGAAAATAGATAGATATGAAGTATGCTGAAAAGAAATAGGACAAAACCTTTAAGTTAAAAAGAAGCCGGCCCTATGTTAAAGGTTAAACACTTCAAACACAACATTATTTGGGAAAATTTTTGACTCTATGGATAATGGAACTGAGTCTTAAAAACTTCAGATATTGATGGAGGTGAGGAGATGGGGGACAGAGAAACTGAGTGATGGACATTGAGGAGGGCACTTGTTGGGATGAGTACTGCGTGTTGTATGTAACTGATGAATAATGGGAATCTACTCCTGAAGCCAAGAGCACACTGTATACACTGTGTGTTGGCTAATTTGACAATAAATTATATTTAAAAATTCAGAAATATATAACATTTAATAAGCTGGCTATACTTTAATAAGCTAGTTGCATTTAATAATAGTGATAGTGATACACATTGGCTATGATGTAGCTTTTGTACCTAAGAGATTATTGTGATTATGGAGCCACTTGTAGTGCAAATAATTACAGTTTAAATAGACTGTAGTTATTTGGAAGAAAGATCCAATAATAAACATATTACATCCATATTAATACCAAAGAGCAATTAGTAACTTTCAAGTTGAAATTCCATTTATTTATATACATCTTCTCCAGATTCTCCTTAAGTGCTACCCCTATTTGTTATGTTTTAACAGATGTATGAAACACCAAAGAGGAAGTATGTCAAATCAAACTGTTTATTATTTGATCTTAAAAGATGATCAAGGGGAGCAAATGTCCAATGTTTAAATTTTAAGACCTAAAACAAATAATTCAGAAGACTCTCATCTTTTGTTGATTGCTAAAATATACCACAGAATCTTACTTCCTCACTACTTAATTTGCTGTTAAGAAAGAATTTCTTGAAAAGAATTGTTTTGTCTGACAAAGATGGAAAATGGAAGGTCTACTGAAATAGGCATTGTGTGTGTGTGCACATGCGCACGCGCTCACGCGTGTGTGTGTGTGTGTGTGTGTGTGTGTGAGAGAGTGTGTGTATCTCGCTTTGGCTGTCCATATAATAGAACTGAAATGAGAAAAGATTAGCATGGCCCTTCATTAGGATGACACACAAATTTGTGAACTGTTCCATATTTTTCCTATAAATGAAAGTTAAGATAGTAAATTCTAAGTTTTTATCACGAGAAAAAATATTTTTGTAACTATATGAGATACTGCTGTTAAGTAAACTTGTAATTATTTCATGATATATGTAAATCAAATCGTGATGCTGTGTCTCCTAAACACATGCAGTGCTGTATGTCAAGTATATCTCTAGGAAACTGGAAGGACTGATTATGCCACAGAGGCACAAACTGAAAGGTACAGGTAATAATAATAAGAGCAGCAAAATACTGTTAGTCTATCTTATTGAATACTGAGTTGGTGCAGATTCTGACCCAGGTAGTTTTTCACAAAAACCCTAGGAAGTAGTTATACCAGTTATACTTCTTCCCAATTTACAGACATAGAAACTGATAATGTTTTCTTTTTTAAATGTTTTTATTTTTATTTTTGAGATAAAGAGAGACAGAGTGTGGGTGGGTGAGGGGCAGAGAGAGAGAAGGAGACACAGAATTCGAAACAAGCTCCAGGCTCTAAGCTGTCAGAACAGAGCCCAACGTGGGGCCTGAACTTGGGAATGACAAGATCATAACCTGAGCTGAAGTTTGATGCTCAACTGACTGAGCCACCCAAATGCCCCATGTTTTCTTAATTAAACCCTGTAAACACTTATACTAGAAGTGCTTACATATCAATGAAAGAACTTTGTATCCAAAATATGGCTGGTGAATACAATGTTTCAGGGGATAATATGCTCCTTCTATTACAGCCACAAGATACTACTTTGGTTAAAAGGAGAATGATTGATTGATTGATTGATTGATTATGACAACCCTATTTACCCTCACTTTCAAGTCGATTAAGAATTGTCCAGCTGCTACAGGTTTGAAAACGTTTGTAAGTAAGAAAGAATGCCCTTGATAAATGCAGTGTTTTACTCTGTCAAAATGTAACAAAACTTTTTAAAAAGTTACTACTAAAGCATAATTAAACATTTTTAAGGGTATGGATTTTTGAATTTTTAACTCCATTATGTACATTTTGAGTTCCTTCAAATAGAAGCGAATTAGGACTTCAAAGGGACCATGGGAGGATGTCTATGGTCAAGTGCATTTTCCAAAAAATACTCAACAACTGTTGTTTTATTACTCTCACAAGGATCACACACTACAAATTTAAAGCTATTTGGCCATTGTCATATTATTACTCTCGACTTACACTGCATTCTTACCATGAACAAAACAGTGATTGAGGACAAGTAGAAGATTTTCAGTTCTTAATTGAAAACCGGGAATTACAGAGAAACTTGGTAATCTAAGATTTGAGGTAGATTATTTTGAAGCCAATGATTTCTTGACTCTCTCTTTCTCAAAAATGAATCCAAATATTTAAAGAAAAGAAAATGCTATTGAAAGTAGCCACAGTTTCAAGCTAGCCCACAAAAGTATCCTCAAACCCAAAATACTTGGGCTGCCTTTTACCCTTCAGAATGTTTATATTGGAATTAAACTACACAATCTTTGAGAGTTACCTAAACATTATTTATACAATCTGCTAGTAGAAAATTATGTTCTAAAAAATAGATAATAAATCAATCTAAAAATATTTTATAGCTAAAACTAAAATATTATAAATAATAAAAATTATTAGGAAAGAACTAATATGCATAATATTTGTTTAATTCTATTTTCATAAATTGCTGCTTAGGCTGTCTGAGGAAACTCTAAAATATAACACAAATTAATGTATACTTATACATGTATGTGTACATACTCATGTATTTATATCCAAATCTCTGAAGATAAAGCCCACAGTATAGACCAGGTTTTCAAAGGGATCTCATATCTACGAAGCATTGAATATCAAGAGTATAGAACTCAATTTTAATAAGTTAGTTTTTTTCTTATAACTACTACAGTCTATTATACCAGTCTCTAAATATTAACAAATATTTGGTAGTTCACACAATTGAACTTTATTTTATAATAAAGTGGTTAACCGAGAATATTCTGGAGTCTGTCTGCTAAGTTTTGAACCTCAGGTCTAGCAGAGGTGACCATAGACAAATACTAATTTCTAATTGTCTCCTTTTAATTTGTTGTAAATTGGGAAATTTATAGTGCTTACCTCTTAGGTTTATTGTGAAGAATAAGGAGAGGACTCAAGTAATACACTTAGACTATTGCTTAGTACAGAATAAATGTTCGTAAATGAGTTCTTATTATAACACTTCTCTTTTCTGGGGGGAAGCACTTATACAGTTAAAAATATATGTATTGTGTGTTTATTTTGAAATCAACCTGGATTGTATATTTGTCCCAAATACCAAAACATATATAGAATTTATTATATTTTATGTCGCTCTTATATGATAAAAAACAGTATATGTTGTAAGAATATAATATGTATATTTTATATATATTATATATATATATATATATATATATATATATATATATATATATGATTTAAGTCCTATAATTTAACTCAGGTTTAATACTATCTACCTGGAGATGGTGTCAGACACCACAGGTTAAGGGCTTGGTCTCACAAGACTGTGCCCTCCTCCCCCTTTACTTCAGACGTAAGTCATAAGGAGTAGGTTCTCAGGTTATTCACCACTTCTATCTGATATGGCTTTCAACCAGAGATTCTTTTGACCCCTTTCTCAATTTCAGTTGAGTTGTTAGAGTGGCTCACAGAACTCAGGATAATACTTACTTATGTTTCCCAGTTCGGTAAAGGATATGATAAAGGATAGAAATGAAGAGACACCGAGGGTAAGGTCCTGAGGGTCCTGTGGAGTTTGGGTATGCCACTCTCTCCGTGTGGATGTGTCGGCCAGCCAAGAAGCAGTTTGAACACATCTTATTGGGATTTTATGGAGGCTTCTTCACACAGGCATGGTCACTGTTTTGCTCCATTTCCATCTCCTCTCTCCTCTCTGGAGGCTGGGAAATTATTTTCCACTCATGCCTCAGTCTTTCTGGTGACCAGTCCCCATTGAGGAGCCATGCAAGAGCCCACACAGAGTTAATAGAACAAAAGATGTTTACAGCGCTCTTCTCACTTAGGAAAGTGAGGTTTTAGGAAAGAAAGGTTTTAGGAGCTCTGTGCCAGGAACTGGAGGCAGAGACTAATAAATACAGTTTCTATCATGTCACCTTAGTACAAGCATAAAACAAGTGCACCAATTTCAAAAGTTTGGTTACCGTGGGTGCCTGTACATCTCAGTCAGCTAAGCTCAGGTCATGATCTGGGTTCCTGATTTCATGTCCCACATTGGGCTCTGTGTTGACAGCTTGGAGCCTGGAGCCTGTTTGGGATTCTGTGTCTCCGGGTCTCCTCTCTGCTCCTTCCCTGCTTATGCTCTGCCTCTTTCTCTCTCAAAATAAATAAACATCAAAACTGGTTACTTTGAGAAAAAAAAGGTTGGAGAATATATAAAGAAGAAAGGGAGAGAGGAGTGAGCAAATACAGTGAAATAGCTACATGGGTGAATGTATGTTATTTTCTATATGTTTGAACTATATTTATCAAATACAAACTATGTACAAAAGTGTATATTCTAGAAACTTTAATGAATCTGGGCAACATTGGTAACTTTTTATTCAGTTATTACCGTTTCAAAACTACAAGTTATGATATTCCAGAAGACCTTTTTTTGTTAAGTATTGCTCCTACTCCTTTTGAATATATAGTAAATATTGTTCACAATATATAATGACTATATTGGATAACAGCAAAATGAGATAAACTTTTTCTTTTAGTAAAATAAAATATTTAGACATTGATAAAAGGCAGGCCTGTGTTATCACAAGATTTATTTTCACCTTATTAATTTCCCAGTCTGACATATAAAGAAATTGGTTGCACTAAATCACTAATTATTTACTTTAAATAGGTCTTTATAATGCCTTGGGATATTTAATTGGTTACAAAGATTGCTTTTCTGGTTGGGTTTTAGTTACAGTTAGAATTTAAAAAGATCTGAAAATATATATGTGTATATACAATACAGTTAGTGACCATGCTGTTTGGTAATTCCTCTGATGGGTATGATATTCAGATAATTATTTAATACCTACTATGTGCCAAGGGCTGGAATGGACTCTGAGAAGATAATATTATAAGTTAATTTCATTGAGGATGATTCAAAATCAAATAACTATAAAATTATGAATTATAAATTATGTTAATATATCTGTGTAAAAATGTTAGAGAAGAAAGAAAGAAAAAGGCGTGAGAACTCATGGACTGTGATTTATGTGAGTTTCTTTCTCAAAAGTAAAGCTTTTACATTCCGTCTTGGATACCTCTCATGTGATCATCTATTCAGGGGCAGGCTGGTGTGGCAGGGGAGGTGAAACGGCTGCTATTTACACACAATAGCTAATGAAAAAGAGTCTCTTGGAATTGCGCCAACTGATGGCTCTTTGCAGAGGTAGTGATTTGTCTAAATGAAAATTGTTGTCTTGATTAATGAGTTAACAAATACAGAAGTTTGTGAGATTAGATTCTCTGTTACAGGGCCAAAATTTCATAGAATTAGCATGATTTTGAAATAAACACATTTTATTTTCTAGCTGACACTTTTATTCTTATTTGCTGTCAATAAAATAGTACAAAATTGGTTATACATGTATCCTTTCATTCCTAATCCCAAGATTCCTAGTGATACCCCTCTCCACACACAGAAATATTCACACTTTAGAGGCTATATGAGTAAAAATGAAGGCCCCCACATATTGCAATGAGGATGTGGTAATTAATAGGAGAGTATGAGTAAAAGCTAAGCTCATGCCATATTCTATGGGGAAAATGTCTTCTTTAAATAACAAGAGTCGATATGTAAATATCTGGTTTCTTGTAAGATTCAGACTATATACTCTAGTATTTAATAATTTAAGTATAGATATAAACCATATATAAGAAGGAATTAATAATAGAAAGCAATAAATGATTAATGAAAAAATATAAGTGAGATAAATGAGTAGAGTGTACATTACCCAGTAGCTTTGCTACTCTTACATG